ACTGCCATCTGAAGATTGATCTTAAGCGATTGAATCTTTGAGTTATAGCTCGAGAAGGCTTGAAGAGGGACGTGAAAGGAAAAAATGAGAGCTTTGATGTGATCCCTAATTAGGCCCCCGCCTCCGGGAGCTCCAGTGAGTTAGTCGAAAGATCCGTCAGTGTTCAGCTTAACCTAAAGGAAGTCGGGTCTCAGCCAAACAATGATTCTGGGGCATGAGTGATTGACAAGCAGCAATGGAGATAGTACAAAGCGGTGTAGCAACGTGCAGCCTGTCTCGTCTCTAGGCGTGAGTCTGCCGAGAGTAGTGGGGAGAGAGAGATATCGATCAACCTGCAAAACAAAGTGAGAGCACATAAAAGTAATATCTCTATGATTCGCAAAATTCTTTCTGTCTAGATGAACTACATGATTAGACAAGGAATGAGAAAGCTCATCTGTCTAGACACATGCGTTGGGGGAAAAAAACTCAGGAGCACAAATAAACTATTTGTAGTGGGTAGGGGTATATGAGTATAAGTGGCAAAATGTTCACTCACTCTTCTCACAATCTCGCTCTCTAGAAAAAGGTGGAAAAAAAGTCTTAGTTTGGAATCATCGGTCTAGGAATAACAGTAAAAGGAGAAGAAAACCCTCTTGCTTGCAACACAAAGTTGATCAAAATCCGACGCAGAATAAGACACCAAAGGATGACAGAGATGGTCGGGGTAAGAAGGTTGGTCTAAATGGCCCTCCCCAAGTCGAGATCATAGAAAATACACCATAAGATGTAAGTCTCCACTTTGTACCTTCCGAACGATCCTCCGAGATGGAAAACTTCTAGATGTGCTCTAATAACTGGTCACTAAAACCCGCTCCAGTACCCAACTTCCTCTCTAACCTATCCCTATCCCACGACCTATCGGTGCACAGGTCCTTTACCCACAGAGAAGAGGAGTAAGTGACCTGCCTAATGCTCGAAAATGGCTCCTCACCAAACCACCACTCACCCCACAAGCTAACATCTCACTCGTCCAACTTTCAGAAGATGTGCTCCTAGGCCCGCCTACCTACCCTGGTGAGTTCCCTCTACTATCTACTATCATGAATGGTGGTCGTCGCCCTATAAGGATGGCAAACACCTCTAGGGCAGTACTTCCCCAAAAGAAACTGAGCCCAAAGTGACTTTCCATCTCTGAAGCGCCACCTTATATTATAATAAGTGAAGGCGGTGACTACGTTCGATAATCGTCGGATCCCAAGGCCACCCTTGTACTTCGTTTGTCACATAATGTTATGAAAACATTATGCGAATAATTGAAAATTTTAGAATCTTCACTCATACACAGATGAGTTTATATGTTTTATATAATTATGAAGTCGACAAAATGCAAACACAAGGTAAAAGCAAATTCTCCCATATATAATTATCGAATGTGTTGAGCCTAAATTGCAGACTCGCACGTTTCGAGATCTTACTTGGAAAAATTTCATTCTTCGTCATTTGGCTTGGATAACTTTTAATTTACTTTCAATCCATAAATAATTAGGCTTAGAATTATCTATAAATATACTGGATATTTTTTACTTTTTTTACGAGCATTAGTTGTGTTTTAACATAATTTTCGTTGAGGACATGGTTTATAAGGAATTAAATTATTTGCCTCAATCTTTATTTTTTTCTCAATCATTTTTTTTAAAGATACTATACTAACTTAAATTATAAGCATATTTTAAAAGTTAACTTTTATATTTATTATTTTTGATATATAATATATAAAATCAATTTCAATTTGACATCTATATTGTATGATAAAGTAAATAAATAATTATATCTACATTTACAAATAAAAATTAAATCATCTATTAATTTTAGTTGAAAAAATAAAATTATTTACCAATTAAATAAATTTAAATACAAAGTAGTTATATGATATAAGTTAAAAAAGTATAACATACGATGATTAAGTAGTATATGTGATAGTGTCATATCAAATATAAATAGTAATATATTTAAAAAAAATTAAATTTTAAAACATACTTTTTGTACTACTTTTTAAATTTATGTATACACTTTTTAACAGTCACTCGTGTAATGCACGTGTATTTTATTTTTACTTTTTAAATTCATGTATATTCTTTTTTAATAAGCACCTGTGTAATATACGAATATTGTACTAGTCTATATCTATATCAATATCTATATAATAAACCAATCATTGTTACTATGATTGGTATAATTTTAACAAATTTTATTTATGAACATTATTTTTTTTACTCTATAGCTAATATTCATTAGTTATAAATTGACTTAAATAGAATATTAACCGATTACATATATTTATAATAAGATCATAATATTAATTTCATATATAGTAATTTTTTAAAACAATTAAGGAATTTATTTACCATAATTATAAAAGTGATTTTGTTAATTATTTTACCATCTCATGGTGGTAGATATTAATTTATTAATGAAATCACCGATCAGAAGCACTTAAAATATATAATAAATAATCAGAATAATTTTATTTGAAACATATTAACTTAATGAACAATTTATAGTTTTAGTTAATAAAATTTATTGAAATGTAGTCAACGTAACCATTATCAAGTATATCTCCATCGAATATATTATTTTTATTGGTAATACAATAGAAAATTTTAATTTAATGTATCGATATAATTATTATTTCATGGTCGAGTGAAATTAACAATTATAAGTTTCACATCAGAAATATCTATATTGATCAAAAAATGATTCAAGTTTTTTACAAAATATAATTTTATTATATACTATTAAATAAATAACTAAGATTAATTAAGACAATATAGTTAAATATCATAATTTTTTTATTAAAGCATTTGGCAATATTTAAATATATAGTTTATCTAAACATTTAAATTGGATGTTAATACACTCATTATATATGTTGAAAAAATTAATTGAAGAAATTAATATAGAAAAAATAAAAAAATAATAAAAGAAATATTTTACTATGAAAAAATTCGTTGCATAAACGATTAGTTACTACAACTTAAATATCAAACAATTAATCTTCATGCATCTAGAATTGAATAAAGGAAAACAAGTTTTATGGGTTAAACGTTAATTACCTATCGAGCTATATGAAGAATATGAATTGTTAAAAAAGTTACAAGATCAAAATAATCGGTAATTCCAGAAGTACATGTAAGTAATTTACATACAGAAGTCATATTTAAAATCTTAAATATTGACAATATTTTATAATATTTATAAACAATAAAATTTATATACTAAGTAGTCAAGACCTACAAAAATAAATTAAATAATAAAAAATATTCGAATAAACTTTATATTATTAGTTTATATAGTGTCGGATAGAATTAGCATATTATCTTAAATAATTTAATAATATTTAAATAATAAAATAATAATTTATAGTACTCTCATGCATCGCGCGAGTATCAATGATAGTTATTAGTTATATAAATAAAAACAACTAATTATAAATTATGAAATAATTTTAAATATTATTCATATGAATATTACTCACACTGATGTGGTTTCTTCTTAGGTTTGATCACTATATGTCCAATTTTGTTTTAATAATTCGTTTTGAATTTTTGGTTATTCGATTTTTTATATATGCACATTCTAAAGTATATTAATCGATTCTCATTGCTTTTATAATTATAAATATTGGGGAAAACAAATTTATGCCTTATAAACCATGTCTAAAATAGGAAATAATATTAAAACATAATTTATATTTAAAAAAGGATCATAAATATCCAATATACTTATAGATATTGCAAACCTGGTCACTTTTGAATTGGAATTATTAAAAATTATCTAAGCCAAATGCCAAACCATGATAATTTGCCACATAAAATCACGAAGTGTGGGAGTCCGCCACTCAGGTTCAAATCATTCGTGAATTATATATAGAGACGATATATTTATATTATCTTTGAAAATGTGACATTTAATAGTGAATTGATTAATTGCTAATTTTTTTTTTTTTTTTTTTTAAAAAAAAAAAAAACTGACCTAAAAAAATTAAAGTACATTATCTCTACATATTCTGCAAAAAGTGTTGCTAAGAAATCCATGTGGAATCCCCCGATAAAATATCATGTCATATTATTAAATGCTACGTTTGAAAATGATCTTAAAAGTCACATCCATAAAATATCGTGTCATATTATTGAACTGCAATTTCAAGAGCTGGAGGTGGCAAGTGTGGATCTTCAACATACATTCTCGGGTGGTTATGGCGATCAAGGAACCTGTGGATCTTCAATCAAGAGATTATACCTGACAAAGTCACAGCCAACAGAGCCATTCTGGAGTGGCAAGAATTCAGTAACTGATCAGCCGCTTCTGTTAGATTAGTTGAGCCTTACTTTGATTTGCTGCCGTCTTCTAAAAGAATCTCATCTCGCTACAGATTCTAAAAGAAAATAAAAAATAAAAAAATCTCATCTCGCTACAGATTCTGCAAAAAATAGTCAGCGTTCCTAAGAGAATCTACTTCGTGGCATTAACTCATGCTTGAATGCCTATCAGTGCTTACTTGAAGAGACATATCCTCTTCTCAAGACAATAATTTCTGGGCAATTCACAGTATCCAAATGGAGATTCAAACAGTTAGTTCAGTTTTTTTCAAACAAACGTTCGAGTACATTATTTGTAAAGCTTATGAAAACTACGTGTAAAAACTTCTTCATTACACGTTCACAAAGCAGAAGCATCAAGCATCTAACCATAACATACTACAACTTTGCACTTCAAGAGAAGAAGATAATGATAAAGGGGAATAACAATAAAGAAAGAACAATGAAAAGGCACGGGCAAACAAATCCCAGTTCTTCATCAGACCCGATATTTATTCTTTTTCTTTCATCAGAATGCAGGAATAACCTGATTCTTACAAGATTAGCCTGACTGAATAACATAAGGAAACGCCCGAGTTCACGGTTTTTCTTGCCGGTATTAACTATTAACTTAATAATTAGCTGCCTGAAAATTGAACATCAGATCCCTGTGGAGGACGATGTCCCTTTGTACATGTCAGCTACAGCACCAGCAGTTTCTAGAAGGTCATTCCTCATCCCAGCAATTTTCAATGCCACATATTCTTTATATTTCGACACTGAATTGATCATGAGAAAGAGTTCCTCAGCGCACAATTTAACTTCTTCCTCAGTTTGTGCTATTGTTGCTTCCAATTCTGCCTTTGAAGTCTGCACCAAAAAATGGCAAATACTAGTATGGTAAATAAAACTTTCCAATGCTGATCACTTGATAAAATTCGAACTCCATGTGACAAGTAGTCTTTTCTAAGTATCCCAGGAAATAATATAAAACATTCTGTGATGTGCAAATAATAAAAACATAGGAGCACTTGAAAAGTGATCAAAATATTGAATTTTAGACCCGTAGATATGTTTCTCTTGGGCATGTTTTGGAGATGTGAGGGACTCACTAAGCGGTTTAGGTTAAATCATATAGATAAGGGTGATAAAGGTGGATCAGAGTTACCTTCAGAAACTCTGCAGCTTCATTTTCAACAATAGAAATACTATGAGCCTCCAGCTCAACTTCATCTGCCAGTTTTCTTGCTTCTGCTGCACATCTAGATGCATATTCATGCTTCTCTTTCCTGATCATGTTCAACTGAGCCTCAACCTGTGCATTTAAAGCATTTGAAAGGATATATACACTCAGTAATCTAGGATAGAAGTGTCTCATTCAAGTCTTTATATTAAATAAAAGAAGAGTGGAGTCAACCATCTCTCGCGCCAATATCTTTGCAACTGACAAGAACTTCTGCTTTTATAAGATTCTAACAAAAAGTTGTCGCCTAATATTGCCACACACAGTAAAAAATTTGCATGGAGAATACAGCAGCATTGCAGGTAAAAGGGTTACATCAACCACTTTATTCCCAATTCTAGTGTCTTTAATCAATTACCTCTATTTTGAGTTTAGTTAGCTATCTTGGAAACATCAACTAGAAGCATGTGGTAAATAGTTTAATTCGTTAGTTTTTCCTGTCTGTTTTTTCCTTCTCTTTTTGTTATTCCTTTTAGGAAATAAACCGACTTGAATACAGATGGAAGACTACCAAAAACCAAGATTTACTGCATTAACAAACTTACAATGGACTATAAGGACAACCTAAACCAACCAGTTCAATACAAAAAAATGCACCATCTAATATTTAAGCTAGAAAAAATCCACAATAACAGTTCTACCTAACCCAAGCATTAAAGGGAGAGCCTCAGTGAGTTGCATAGTAGAAGCAAAATAGACTAAATCCCACCTATCTAACAGTCTTTAATGCATTCATGCAAAGTAACGATTAGATATGCATGCAAAGTAAACCGGTTCCGTTCATTCCAGAGGCTAGATCATATATAAAAGGGGAAAATACAATTAAAAGCATCAGGCCGAGAATAAGCTGCATCACTTGCCTCATCAATATGCGACTGAAGGGATGCAACATGATTGCGTCTCTCCTCAAGCTTAGCAGTATTTTCACCTGACTGTTGCCGAAGAGAAATCAACTCCTCCAACTTCCCCATTGAACTTCTTTTGATGTCCTCACTAAACGAGGCAAGTGCAGGCTTCAGTACTGTTTTGTAGTCTAACCCCAGCACCTCAGATGGTGAGGATCCAATGGAATTCAACTGATATTGAAATCCATTCCCAATCTTCAACCTGGAAACCAATAGTGAAAGAATCTCGGCACCATGATCCATTAGGAAATTACATAATTCCCTTAAGGGAAGTATCTATAACCTGATAAGTATTAAGTCCGCATACATGAATATCTTAATCTATGAAGAATATTAATTGGGTCCATAGATTAACTAAACAGCACTAACATGTGATTAGAAAAGACTACGTCTACAACACTCCTATGAACCTGAACGGTATCATATTGTAGTACTTATCCTGTATTTCTGTCAACTTGGCAAAGCGAAAGATAATAGACAAGCAAATATAATGTCATATAACACAACGGAGAAGATCCTCGCTGCATCAAATTAGAACAATTCAATGTAATATATAGCAGAGATAGGGTATTCAGGAGAGCAAAATCCGGAAGCTGTGTCAAGAAGCAATCGGGCAGAACGAGAAAAAAAACAGGGACCCCTATCAGGGTGTCTTCATCAACAAGCATCATCTATTATGTATTAGAATTTACTATTTAGAACAAAAAGATATCATTGTATATCACTTCAGTAAGGAACTAAAAAAAGGAAAATCCAGAAAGTAAATAAAAAACCAAAGCAAAGTGTCCCTCTCTGACATTAAACATTTATGTCTTCCACTTCTGACTCTGTTCCTCAGGGTTTTCATTCAAAAATATATAATGTTTACTAGGGACGAAGAAATCAAACACAAGCAAGCTAAGTTTCTTAGAAAAGATTGAAAATGTTTACAAGCCCTTGTGTGGTGGACCGTGGAACAAACAAAGTTACAGTATAAGATACTATAGAAGTAGTTCCTGACTTCAGTGTTGTCTGGGCACAAGTTTACTAAGGCAGCTTTCTATCTACCTTTCTTAAAGAAGAGAAAAGCCAGATGATGATGTGGATTCAGGTGTTTGTTCATCAGAATCAGATAACTGCCGACACAATGCTAGACTACGAATCAAACTGTTGATCATCATATAACAAGGTCCATCTAGGATTCAACAGTGGATGCTCAATTACAGCATCACTAAAGCAGACATGACCAATCAGCCTTCACAAAGCAGCAAAATTTTCCTAAGCCAAGCAACAAAGACTCAAGCCCTATTCTAGTCATATTTTTATGTGTATTATTTCTATCAAAAAACCGCATCAACAAATGCAACAGCAATTAAAACCGACAACAACAATCTCAACAAGTCCATATCTTTTAACAAAGAACAACGACAAAACAAAAAAAATCGCAAACCTTCTGGTAGCTTGGTTGCCTTCCATCACCAACCGCTCGAGCTCCTTAAACTTATGGTTAATCTCCGAATCGAGCTCCCATATCTTCTCCTCCCAGCCATTTCTTGCAGACTCGGTCTCCACGATATCCCTCTCCACAGCCTGCAACTCCCTCTTCATTCTTTCGGCATCTCTCAAATTAATCCCTTGCTCCTCAATCCTCTTCTTTAACTCCTCATTCTCCTCACAAATCCTCTTCCTATCCTCCACTTTCGCCTCCAGCGCGTTACCCTTCTCCTCCAATTTCTTCTGCACCTCCATTAGATGGCTCGATAGCTGCTCGATCATAATTTGGAATTTCGTAATATCCTTCTCTAACACAGCCTTTTCCTGTTCCAGACGTTCTTTCTGACTCGGCCCTGCCTTCATACCATCCAATTTCGACTCCAATTCCTTCACTGTTCCTTCGAAGCCCTTCACTCTCTCCTCCAACGTATCCTTCCAGTCACTCATCTCCCTAATACAGTCTTCATCCAGGGCATCTATTTTGTCATCATCTCCCGTGATGAAGAGCAGGTAGCTGTTCACAGTGTACATGAACATTTTATCACCCTCAAAGCTAGGGGCAGAGGTCATCATGTAATCTCTGTACTTAATTATCTGGACAAGCCAGTGAATGACGGCGAGCAAGTTGGGCCATGTATGGGGAGTGCCGGGGGCACGCAGGGCGGATTTGTTCAGTTTGAAGGGGCATTTGAGAAATTTCAGCGCGTGGCTGAGATCTTCGTCGAGCTTCTGTGAGACGAACCCGAGGCGCTGCAGCAGGAGCTTTAGGGTTTCGGTGATGTCCTTGGCGGAGGGCAGGGAGGGCTTGAGGGCGAAGGGGGCGGATTGGGAGGCGAGGTAGGAGTTGATGGTCCTGAGCGCGGAGAGTTGGTGGGAGCGGTCGGAAAAGTTGGGGAGGTCGGTGGAGGGGCGGCTGCTGCAGAAGCTAGCGTCGGAATCGCGGCCGGGGACAGGTGTGGCAAGGAACTGCCACGGATCGGCGGCGGTGTTGGTGGGAGTGGGTGGAGGGGGGCGGCGGTCAGGGGGCAGTGAATCCGTCGGGCGGCGGCGGCCTCTCATCGTCGGGGGACTGGT